AACATAATGATCACTTCATAAATGTTTCAGACCAGTGACAGTCACAAGACCCAGTGTAACTTGCTCTCAAATTTGTCATGTAATGACCCCACTTGCAGTTGCAACCTGTGCTTACCCAAGTAACGGAGAAGGAAGTAGAGCAGTAGTTTGCAAGTTAGGGGTACTGACTGTATCTGGATATCTGGGTAACTTTGTTCTGCTCCCTAAGTACTAACAAAAATACTGCTTCTAGGAGTCTCGAATCTGAAAACAGATGAGCTGCTTGAATACAACCTTGTAACTACTGGCTCTAGTTGTGGCAACAGATCTCAGACTTGTAGAGCCCCCTAACTGGCTCGGGTGAAGTGTGGTTCTGTGAAAGAGCTAAGCCAACCTAATAGCTCATTAGCTCCCCCACCTTTCCTGGTGCCTGCTTATTGGCCACTTTGTGGAGACTTATCTTGCTAAAGCATGAGAAAATTAACCTGTTGAGGAAAAAGCACTTAATTTTGTAGTTCAATTACCTTAATAGAGGAGCTGGCACAAGGACTGTAGAGAGCAGCACCACTCCATTTGGATTAGGTTATTTTCTTAAGCTGGTCTGTGCATCATCAAGTGGTGCCTGTTTGTACATACTATAGGAGCACGACCAGGGACCAAACATGGGTGGTAACTGCCAGCAAAATACTGCAATGCAATTGCTTAGTTTCCCCTGAGATTTAAATGACAAAGCGTCAAAGGGTATGCATATAATAGCGGTACTAGAGAAGAAGACACCTAAGGTGAAAGTCAAAAGATTACTTCCAGAGTCCTGCCTGAAGGCTTGATATCAAAGACACAATGATCATTAAAATGTAAGGTGATTGTCTTGGAGTTCCTTTCAAGTATTTTTGGGGAAAAGGGGACTGTTTAAGATACTGAATTGCTTTCATGCCTATTTTGAGTTTCCTATTCAGCCAGGACAATATATCCACACATGAAAATCTCCTTTAAGAACTAGGATAACCTATTGCCAGTATCTAGTAAAAATAGAGACAGAATATATATATTCCGTGCAAGTACTTCAGATATCTGCTTCATGTTTACATGCAATTATAAAATTTTTGCATTTCTCTTATCAGTTTGGTTATGTATTCAACATGCTTGTCTTCTAATGCTTGCACTAAGTTCTTTTATTTTGTGGCTGTTCTTCATCCTTCATTTTCTCATATAGTCCATCAATAATCAAGGTGTACTATCTCATGTCTTATCAATTTTGGGAGCTGATAACCTGTCCTTATAAGATCAGCAGTGGATTCACTGAACTCTTCACCTTTTAGAGCTGACTCAACACAATTACTCTATCAATGTTCTGATACCTTCTGCAAACAACTTGTTAGGTACTTGGCTAAAGTTTTCTAGAAAGACACCTAAATGAAGTTTGTTAATAATTGAT